TAGTGGTTGTGTCCCATTTTGTCTTCATGACTTCCAGGCCATACTTGGCACAGATGTTCCTGTATGTTATGCCAACCACTTGGTTATGGCGTTTCATGTATGCCCTGTCTGATAGCATCTTGCATCCTGCTGTTATGTGCTGGATTGTCTCAGAGGCATCTTTGCACAGCCTGTACCTGGGGTCTTGCTTTGTGTGGCAGACCCTCTCTGACCCACCCCCTTTTTTTTTAAACAGTATGTTTATTGAGTTTTATATTACAGAACAAGCATTAAAGAACATAGTCCCCAAAATAAACAAATACAAATTAAAAGAAACAATGATAATAATAATAATAAAATAATAATAATAATAATAATAAAATAAAACAAAACCCATGCACAGCATGGGTAAAACAAACAAAGCAAGATGCGAACGAAAAATAAAAACAACAAAAACAAAGAAACAGACAAAAAACAAAACAAACAAACAAACAAAAAAACCAACCAGACAACCCCCCCCCCTACACACACACAACCCCCCCCCCCAAAACCCCCTCCAAGAAACAAAACAAACATACAAAACAAAAAACTCAGCACCAAGTATCATTTTCTAAATTAATTCCCTTCATAATGTCTCAGAAACTCAGTTAAAAGTAACCATATTTCTTCAAAATCTACTCCTTTTCCTCTGACAATATAAGTAAGTCGTTCCCATACAATACATGATGCCATCTCCTTCACCCACATATGACTTGAGGGTACATCCATTTTCCATTTTCTTCCAATACAAAGATATTAACCGCCTAGCTTTCAGGAGTCCAAAGTCAATTAACTCTAGCTGTCTGGTGCTAAAGTCACAATTCTTTGGGTATATACCCAACACACACATTTTTGCTTCAACAAGTATATTTACTCCAACAATCTTAGATAAAGTTTGCGTGATTGATTTCCAGTACTGCTGTAATTTTGGACAGCTGCATACACAGTGAAACAGAGTGCCCTTCTCGTCTAAACATTTACTGCAACTATCTGGGATGACACGCGACCAGCGATTCAGTTTGACTGGGGTTCTGACCCACCCTTTAGTGTGGTCTCTATGACTCTTGTGCCAGGAGCTTGTTCCTGTGCTGCTATGATTAGTGCCTCTGTGCTATATTTCAGTCCAGTTATGTCCAGCCATTGGTAGGATTTCTTGATATCAGCCAATTCTTCTAACAAAGGTAGAAGGCAGGCACCATCCTTCCATGGTGGTTCCTGTTCTTGTTCCTCTTCTTTTTTGGGTTTCAACTGCCTGACGTATTCACTAAGTACACTATTAGTTGTAGCCATCTTCCTGATGCACTCATGGATGTTTGTTGTTTAATCCTGCTGAAAAAGCATGATTCTATGAAGGGTTGCATAACATACAGGAACTACATCATCTGTACTTACTGTTCTTTGATAAGAAAAGAAAACCTACAATCTTTTGTCTTTTGTTTTAAAAGAACCATATAGCATTACATTATGACCAGCAAATTTAAGAATTATCATGGAAGCAAAGAAGAAAGAGTAAGGAAGGGGTTAAGATGGTTCAGCAAAACCTTGACTTCACTCCTTGCTATTCCTCTCCCTTCTCAAACTAACAATAATTATTTTAACTCTATCTCTGTATTGTATTTACTGTATTTAAATTCATTTATAAATCTAACCATGATGATTTTTTATGGTCAGTATCTGACAAAGTCTGCCTACAATTTCTTTTTATTTGGGGTGGTCTAATACATATATATTAGTGCCTGTATGGGTAGCAAGTGATAGCAAAGTGATCATTTATACAATGGTTCGGAAGGGAGTCATGCTCTTCTGTAATGCCAGGGTTAAAAGGAAGCAGATGAAGTCAGTTGTTTTCCTGTTTTGGTTATAGCTCCTCCTTAATCACATGTGTCTACTCTGCAACTTCTTTTTTTCTTTTTTGCTCTGCTGCCTGATTCTAAGAGTTATAGTTAAAATGCACAACATCTTGTACTTTATCCCTTATCTATAACTCCATACTTTTTAGCAAATTAAATATGAATATTAAACAATAAAAAGAGAGAAAGAAAGTATATAAATTAAGATTAAGCTTAAGTTGGGTTATGGTGTTAATATCATTTCTAAATGTGTCCTATAAATATATCTTTCTCTTGTGCCAAACACAAATCGCTTCCCTTTGCTGGATTTATTTTCAAATAAGCTGGTAAGCTGCTGGTAAGATGGCAAATATTAAGCCAACTCCATGCAAAACTTGGAAATGAAAGTTAACCACAGGTTTTCTCTTCTGTAAATCTTTTAGCACTCACTCAATACATCAAAAATTAAAACCTATGTATTTCCCAGGAGATATACAACACCTGTCTGGCATAAACAGAAAGTCTTACCATGAATTTTATTTCCGATGTCTGAGATTTCTATGCTCTGTAACAGAACACCAGTGACATTTCAAGACTTCTCCAAATTTAAATCCATTACTGGCTGTGATATTACATTAACAGGACACGCATGTGCTTAGTATAAGCTATGTGAACTTAATATCTGTTTCCCTTCAAGATTTATTTGAATAAATAATCTACAAACCATGCAATACAGTATTATAATTTGCTTTAGACATTTTGTGGGCATTACTGATCTCCTAAAAATGCAGTTTATATACTTTCAGTGAAATATGAACCAAATGACATTGGAATACTGTTTTTTTTTAAAATAAGAACCATAATTATATTGATTGTAAAAATAGTTTTAATAAAAGAAAGATTTGAGTTGATGCCATTTAAGTATAATGTAATTAATCTGCCACTATTATTGCACGTAATTTGTTCTTTAATAAAATAAAGAAATTAAATGTATATACATTTATTATTGTACGTATTATTATTAAAATCCTCTGTAAAATGGTAATTTGATGTGTAGAAAATGACGCATGATAATTAGCTTATTTTTGACCATATCTATCAGCAAGGTGTCAGAGAATCCTGACCAAACTTAGTGAGCTGCAAATGCTGAGGAAGCAGATCCGATGTGTATAAAAGCAGCAGCTCTGAGTGTTTGCTCTAACTGAAAGGCTTCTAAGGCAGGTGAGTAGAGTCAACATTTTCCTCTGCCATGTCTCTGCTGTGAGTTAATAGATTATATGTTTTAGTAATTAGTTACTTAAATTATTTTACACACTGATACATTTTTGTAAACATTTTGTTTTTAAATGTATTCTTAAAGTCTTTTACAAAATCAAGTCAATATAAAAAGTGCATGAATCTACCTTTAACCTTATTTTATAGTGCCTTGACATACACAGGATCACAGGATACCAAGGAATTTCTGTTTGCATCAGCTGAGGTAAATTCCATAAAACCAAAACAATGGAGATTAATTGTGGGTTGCATAACAAACATATGATTTATTTTTCAATCGATCATATTTTCAGTCTTGATTAAAGTGCCACCATGAGCACTGACGCGGAGATGGAGCAGTATGGCGCGGCGGCCATTTACCTCCGCAAGCCAGAGAGGGAGAGGATTGAAGCCCAGACTGCTCCATTTGATGCCAAGACGGCCTTCTTTGTGACTGTTCCTGATGAGATGTATGTCAAGGGCAAACTTACCAAGAAGGAGGGTGGTAAAGCCACTGTTGAGACAGACGGAGGAAAGGTAGATGAATAATCTTTGTACTTCATTCATGTGTTTACAGTTTTTGCCCGTTGCCTGAACACATTTTGCAAAACTTTGCTCATTGTGCCAAAACCCTAAACACAAGTAAACATGACACAACACTGGGAAATATACCATTCACATCTGCACCAAATTGAAACTCTACTCTCAAAACCTAAACTCTGCTATCAAAACCTGACATTCCTTTGTCAAAATGTAACTCTGTTGACAAAATGACACATACTTGCATCATATGCAAACACTTACAGAGCAGGGGGAACACACTAGTCTACTTTATATAAAGCACTGCAGTCTTTGATTTCCATTGTTCATTCAGAAGGCATATTTTGAGGAGACACATTTGCAAACAACCAAAAAAGCAAATAGGCCTACTCAATATTGTACATTGCAGCACTGTACATTGCAGTACCATGAATTCAGATAAAGCAAAAATAAAAAACAAAAACAAAAAACCCATAATACAGTAATAGAAAAAACACTATACTGTAAACAAAAAACCATGACAATTGTGCATAAGTGGGCTCATGGATCCCGCCGTCTGTTGGGGTCTGGCCACAGGACCTCATCAGCATCGCAAGCAATGTCTCCTCCCGCTAGGCACCGGGGAAAATATCCTCTTCCATGTCAAAACCATCCATGGATTGCTGTCACCTGAATGTCGCCGCAGGCCTGTTCCATTGCCTGCAGAAGAGGCATGCAGGCATGTAGTTGGCGGTCATATACACGCCATCTCCAAGCCGAAAAAAATTCCTCTATAGGGTTTAAAAATGGTGAGTAAGCATCTAGAAATGTGAGTATATGTTGCCTATTGTATGGACCTAGTTTTGCATGATGATGCAGAAGCCCTCGAAGGCTTATGGCGGCACACAATGTGATATTTCCCCCGCGCTGCCCTGGAACGTGCACAATTGCCCTTTGGCCAATTACATTACGACCCCGTCGTCTTGTTTTGCACAGGTCGAATCCAGCTTCATCAATGAAAATGAATTCATGAGGCTGTGCAGCTCCATCCATGGCCAAGATTCTCTGTAAAAAAAAAAAAAGAGAACATATTACTGTACTACAGTGCTACACATACAGAACCCTCACCCCATCACACGGGTACCTGTGTAGCTCTCAGAATGTATTCATGTGGTACTGATATGGTACATATTCAGCTCGAAGTCCTTTGACCCTGTCACTGTTCCTCTCAAATGGGACTCTGTAGAGCTGCTTCATGGTGATGCTGTGTTTTCCCAAGATGCGTCTGATGGTGGTGATGCTCACATGGTTTATGTTGTTGAACACTTGCCTGTCTGCAAGTATTTGCTTTCGTAGCTGGTGGAGACGGATGGCATTGTCTGCCCTCACTAGGTCCACAACGGCAAGTTCCTGCCGTTGTGTGAACAGGCGTTGGCGTCCTCCCCCAGAAGGTCTTCGAGTCATTCTAGAGAAATACAACCACATATTGTCATCGGTTTGCTTATTTTTCTTACAGTACTTTACTGTATATACTGTATCATCCACTGTACAACACTGTACTTCAATATAAGTAATCATGGTATGTTTCACAGAAACTACCACTTTGGCTGCAAAAGGAGCATTAGCACCCTGCAATACCCTGTACACTTGATATGGTAACTGTAGAACAGTACTATAAAAACCATCTGAGTAGAGTAGAAGGCAGTGAGATGAAGACAGACCTGTTTTCTAGTCGGAATTTTCTTATTACAGATGCCACTGTGAAGCGGCTTAGATGTGGGTGGACTCTCTGCCCAGCTTCCCTCATAGTCAGGCCGTGGTTGATGACATGGTCCACCAAAGTTGCTCTTATATCATCAGAAATATGGGTCCGTGCATGGCCTCTTTGACCTCCTCCTCCTCTTCCTCTTGCTCTCCCTCCATCCATGCTTGCAAAGTTCTTGAAATGGCTAAACTGAGGGCTTTTTGTGGTTGGCTAATTGGTGTTCAGTTTTGCAAGTAAGTGCCTTCAGGTGTATATTTGAGTGGTTGCAATTACCCGATGTGTTTTGTATTTTGGATACATGTGTTTTCCAAATGGCACCCTGAAATTTCATTTTTGAACGAAGTGTCTTATGTATGAAATAGAGTGTAGTATGCAGGACCATGTGTGTTGCATAAAGGAGTAAGTGTGTTGCATAATTGCAACCAGAGTGCAAAGCAGCACTTTTGTTTAAGGTATGGGTACATGTGTTTGAGGTATGGTAACAAAAGCTTCAAGTTGTGTTACTTTAGTCTAAGCATGGGTTTATAGTGTTCAAGCAACGAGCAAAAACTGTAATATGCACTGTGTAATTGTAAAAGTTGAGGCTGATTTACATTTTCTATTCAGACGGTCACTGTAAAGGAAGATGAAATCTACCCTAGAAACCCTCCAAAGTTTGATAAGATGGAGGATATGGCCATGATGACCCACCTTAATGAGCCATCTGTGTTGTTTAACCTCAAAGAGCGTTATGCATCATGGATGATCTACGTAAGTTTTCACTTTCCTATGTTTGCTGTGTGTGAGAGGAAAGTATCATGCTGATCTGTAAATGTTTAAATGATATTTATTGTGTATGATACAGACCTACTCTGGGTTGTTCTGCGTTGTCGTCAATCCCTACAAGTGGCTTCCTGTATATGATGCTACATGTGTAGGAGCATACAGAGGAAAGAAGAGGATTGAGGCTCCACCCCACATCTTCTCCATCTCTGACAATGCCTATCAGTTCATGCTCACTGGTAAGCTCAATTTACTGTTAATACGTTTTAATATAAATTATAGACATTACCTTAAATTTCAGTTTATTGAAGTTGTCATTAATCCTTGCAAATAAATAGTTTCTTAGCACTTTATTAATTAACCTTATAATTATTAAAGAAATGATGAAAGCAGGATTCATGAACCTTGTATGCTTTTATTTTAGATCGTGAGAACCAGTCTGTCCTGATTACGTGAGTATATTACAAATCTGTGTGTAAAATCTATACAAAACTTTAAGATACTGAAGCTGAAATTTAACAATGTGTCCCATAAACCCCAGCGGAGAATCTGGTGCAGGAAAGACTGTCAACACCAAACGTGTCATCCAGTACTTTGCAACAATTGCAGCTCTTGGTGGTAAGAAGGCTGAGCCAACACCTGGCAAAATGCAGGTAGATTCTTTATTTAGTATCAAGCTACTTGCAACAGAAAAATAAAATAGAAACTTCAGCTCACATAAACACAATATATTCTTGCAGGGCTCTCTTGAGGATCAGATTGTTGCTGCCAACCCTCTGTTGGAGGCCTATGGTAATGCCAAGACTGTGAGGAATGACAACTCCTCTCGTTTTGTAAGTAATTAAGAGTGAGTTAAAGTAAGTCAGATATTTACTATTTGCTTTCAGAAAAGACAATGCTAATAAAGATTTTCCACTCTAGGGTAAATTCATCAGGATTCACTTCGGTACTACTGGCAAGCTGTCTTCAGCTGATATTGAAACATGTAAGTTTGAACCAGTCTACATTGTACTTATCTGTGCTAGAAATGTTTCTTAACTACTCAATTCAATTTATTTTATATTTATATATTTAGTTCAATGCAGTACATCAAAAAAAAGACTTGGGTACATAATTAGTAAATTATGTAATAAGTAAAGTAACAGAATTGAAATCACTCCCATGACTCTTTTGATAATCTATGAAAATGGTAGGCTTGACATGAAATGTTAGTCTGTCATGCCTTATGTCTACATGACATCTCTACACTCTCCAACTGAATTTGTTGTTCTTAGATCTGCTGGAGAAGTCCCGTGTCACCTTCCAGTTGTCTGCTGAGAGAAGCTACCATATCTTCTATCAGCTGATGACTGGCCACAAGCCTGAGCTCCTGGGTATGACAACTTTAATTATTTATGACACTAACTAACTTTGATTGAATTGAATTCAACTATATATGGACAGTTCATATAACAACAACAATATTTTTAAGTGTTGTATACCAGTATATAGCGACTATTAATTGTACTATTAAAATATAGTGTATTAATTATAATTAATCAATATTAACTAATTAATTATTTAATTCTAGTATTAAAATACAAGTTTATTTTTGCACAATATCAGATATTATATGGTAATGTATAAACCCTGTAGTATAAAAGAGAAAACCCCAACCGATGATGAGAATTGCCTGTGAGCCGACACTTGGCAATGATGGAATAGAAGAATTGCATTTTAACAAGAAAACCAAAACTCTCCAAACCCAGGCTCAGAGAGGGGTACACAACTAGGGGATGTTTTACTCTGACCTGATCCATTCTTAACCATAAGCTAATTTAAAGAAGAATTTTTAAGCAGAATCTTCAAAGTAACAAACACGTCTTTCTCCTGAATATAAAGGCTGAAGGCTTTGCTTCCCATTTCATGTTTGAAAAGATTGCAAACAATATACTAAGAATACCTCACTGATTTTCGGTATTGCATTTTACAGAGGCTCTTCTGATCACAACCAACCCATATGACTACCCAATGGTCAGTCAGGGTGAAATCACAGTGAAGAGCATCAATGACGTGGAGGAGTTCATTGCAACAGATGTAAAATCGCATTTGTCTTTGGATTTGTATACTTAACTATAAATGAAGTGTTTTTTAAAAATAAATAAAATAAAATAAATTGTTGCTTTCATTCTTGTGTCGTACAGACTGCTATTGACATCTTGGGCTTTACTGCTGAAGAGAAGTTAAGCATCTACAAGCTGACTGGTGCTGTGATGCATCATGGCAACATGAAATTTAAGCAAAAGCAGCGTGAGGAGCAGGCTGAACCAGATGGCACTGAGGGTAATTGACAAAATAAATATGATCTTTATTGTGAAGATTTTGTATAATGGAGAAATGTTTGAAGTATTTGTATTTATTAGGTATTTTAATGATTTGTTTTAATCCAACAGTGGCTGACAAGATTGCGTACCTATTGGGCCTGAACTCGGCTGATATGCTGAAAGCTTTGTGCTACCCAAGAGTCAAGGTTGGCAATGAGATGGTGACCAAAGGTCAGACTGTCCCACAGGTAATTAAAAAAAA